CTACACTCCCCAGGGAAAACCTCGCAACTCAATGTATCTTAATTATCTTACATGAAATACACCATAAACGCCCTTATCTAGTTTATTGCTGTTATTACAACCTTTATTAATGTATTAGTTTTTAGAAGCGGCCTTACATATGAGGTTTTTATGTGATTCGCTTGTCGCAGTGTTATGCATTGGGCCATTAGGGTAAACGTTGATTTATTACGTTTAATTATTATGTAATGAAATCTAGTTAAACTTATTTGAAAATGATTTTTAACTGCGGCCCGACGTTTCGCATGCTTCGCAGCAGCAGGGAGTCTCCCGTGACCACGGTAGAAATATTTTTTAAACAAGTTTAACTAAAATATGTCGCGTTTTAAACCGTTAAAGCGTTTTATTTAAACTTACTTTTCATAATGGAGGAAGACAGATAAGCATGGGGTAGACTTGATGCCGTTGTACATCTTAAATAGATGCGCTATTGACCTATTATATCTTTGCATATGCGGAAATCCACAGCCTGAAACCGAAATGGGATTAAATTTCACAGCTTTTGCATCTGGACGATGGGTGGTAATGCGGACGGAATTACGCTATCCCCACCACCCATACCACCATAGCAGTGCCATCTATTGATTACTTACTCAATCCATTATAACTGTCAATTATTTATAGACAAATAATTTGCAATAAAATAAAATTGCGACTATAATTAAAGATCTAAACTATCCTATGTCTCAAGTAGGACCAGACTGCTCACGGTGTGCCAATTTAATTTAAAATCGGTTCAGTAGTTTAGAAGTCCATAGCGGACAAACATCGTGACAGGAGATTTATATATATAAAGATATAACATTCTGCGTCAGTTTCACTGATCGAATTAAAATGACATGCCTTTGGTGTATTGTGTTGTGTTGTTGAGACCTTTGTGCCTTGCTTGACGAAAACAAATTGTAGTGTTTTCCCGAGAATAGCATCAGTACGTGGTGGTTAAATGATTGTATTAATTTTAAAGAATATTTTATTGTAATACAAGAAAGGTTTTCAGATGTAATGTTTTTCCGAGAGGCCGAACTAATTAGAGAGAAAAGCTTCACCGGGGTGAGCAGTTAAAAGGGGTGAAACAACGCAGGTAATCTACACCAGCTCTATATAGAACATTTAACACTGGCTAATGGCGACGAAATTTTGATTTCCTAGAACTTCATAAATATTAACCATCAGTGTCATGTTATTTTTAGTATAATTAATTCATAATGTATTGTAGATTAGCAAAAGATTTCATACGGTGTTATTATTGTATGGCTTCAATTTAAAACGGAAAGAGAAGGAGAGTGAGTAAAGGTAAAAAGACTAAAGAACGATCTACCGAATGGATGGCGGAGAATACCAAAATGTGGAAGATCAGGTGACGCCTTTGACGAAACTACTTCTTAATACAGAAAATAAAATAAGAAGTATTTCGATCAAATTTGATTACCATAAATACGGTTCGTGAGTTATTTTTAAAAGATAGGCATATACTGTCACGTTCATTTTTAGACTATTTAAATAAGAATATTTTTTTCTCTTGAACCGTTTTCGGGGCAACGGAATCCCTCAAAGATGAATAATTTTCCCCGTTTTTTTTCACATTTCCCACAGTTTTGCCGCAGCTTGTTTTATAGCTTCCTTCATAAATGGTTCTACGAACACAAAAATATTTTTTTGAATCGAACCAGTAAATAGTCACTGAGATTAGTGCTTTGCAACAAATAAAGTCTTCAGTTTTATAATATTACTATACCTATAGATAAGTAATCATTACCAAATTTTTATATGAGATTGTAATCTTACAAATTTGGTCTTTATTGTATCATTGTATTTTGACTCTGTCCTGGCTCTGTGATTGTCTAGGAGCTTAAAGGGTCCAACGTTCGAGTTCCGGGAAAACATGACGACATTGTTATGATTGGGCACGATGCAAAAGTCTAATTAGCTTGACTCAAGAATTTGTCTACAACAATGTTGCATTGAGAGAATGTGAATATTTGACACGGAAATGAACGCGTTATATGTACCTTTTTTATTGTAATATCCAGAAATAATTCTCATAAAATGCAAACATTTTATAACAAAATTGACACTGGGAAACGCAAAAATACTATTCGTTTACTATTATTAAATTTTGATTAATCTGCATGAGCGAGTTAAATAGATAAACCTGTGAGTTTAACATATTCAAAATGAAAAAAAAAATAGTATTTTTTGTGCAATGATTTTATCTTTAGAATAAAAATGGCTTTACGATATAGTATACTAATAAGAAAACTGTCATAACTAACCTTTTTTCTCGTTATAACTAACTTATGAAGCCCGTAACAATTCATCAAGTTTTTCAGAATTCGAATCAATGACAGCAAACAATTATTGTATCCACAGTATGGTGAAGATAAAATAACTAAGGTATGTTTTTAGATAGAGGAGGGCATACGAGCATCGCAGACACTTGATGTTAGGTGAAACACTGTAGCGAAATAACATCTACAAAAGATACGCCGTCGACCTATTTTGTCTTTGGATAATCGGAAATTCACAGACTGATATCGAAACGCGATTAAACTTGGCTCTTTCGTCTGTGGACGGTGGTTCGTAACCCAGGCGGAATTTCCAGACGTAGTTTAACATGTTACAAAATGAAAAATGTTGGACATTGAGTGGGGATTAAACCCACGACCCATTGATTATTAGCCAACATAGCATAAAAAAAAACTTTATATTATGTGGATAGTAATTATATGCTTCGCATGTTTTGTTTACCTACGCTTACTGCGTTACTTGGCCATAGATTCTTATGAAACGGGAGCGAGATTAACGCAACTATCATCTCTGGTACAGCTCAAGGTTCTTTGACCTCTCTTATCTTAGCTTTAGATGTTACGCCCAAGCGTTTTTATTACAAAATGAGCTTCCGTGTCAACTAAAGTTAGTTCAACGTTATCACGTTTACATCAAAGGAGAATTCTTATTTCAGAATAGATATATTAAAAAGTAAAAAAAATAACAACATTTAAAAATCGAACAATTACTTAGTATTCGATTTTGAATAAGAACCAACACATATGGGTAAATTAAAAAATAGAACAATTAGTGTTCGATTTTTGAATAAAAACCAATACATATTAGATTAATTTATAAATACATTTAAAAAAATGTTTTCTTCTGGCATAAACTGTCACTTCTCAAAAAAGTAGCTAATAGTGAAAAAATATATAATAAATAATTTCTACCGTGTCGGCAAAATCCAACTTTACTGTGAACCTAACCAGAATCGAATCGTGAACCTCTCGTGCTTAGAGTCAGTCGAACCGTTTAACCAGAGGCGGTTCATTCTTTAGAACTCCTATGGTTATAGAGTCTCAACTTCTTATAGTACTATTATTATTGTCTCCTACAACATGGCAGATTTATACTCCAGATGTTTACCATATGGAATCAAAAAATAAATTGAGTATGAAACGTTTAACGATCTAAATAGATAATTGGTTACATGTTTTTGCTTGATTTCAGTAATAGGGTTCCGTATTCAAAAGGTAACAACACTCTTTCTTAACGTCTCAGTCTGTCTGTCTGTCTATCAACAGGAATAGACATTTCACAATTTGTGTATGTAGCAGCTATACCAACAAATACTAGAAGTAAAAGAAATATTAAAGAATGCCGTTTTTTGTTTTATATCCGATGTGTTACGCTGTGCTTAACTTTCGTTGGACATTTTGTGACAAATTTTCAGTGACAGTGAACAAAAGTTATTTTATTTATTAAGAACCTTACAAAGTCATTTTAATACATATTTAAATAAAACACTAACGATTTAAAACGCGCTATATTAGTTAAACTTGTTAGAAAATGTTAAGATTATGACATGTTAAAGTGTTTTATTTAAATGTGTACTACTCGCGTAAACTATAGACAGTGTTCATTTTAATACATATTTGATAAGCCATTATATTTAAAAGTTTAAGATTATTTTATTTTATATAACACCAAAATATGTTAATATATTATTAACAGACTACTTGGTTCAAAACTTTTCACAATAATCACATTTAAATAAAACATAATATGTAATTTATTATTTTAATAAAAGTTTAACTAATATATTTCGCGTTTTAAAACATTTTAAGAACGCTTAGGTATTTTGAATTTATCCCGAATCCGGTCAATATTAATAATAAACTAAGTATGCAGTCGTATAAGTTTTAAATACCTACACAGTTATACCTCCCATCTGGAGTGATTGATTGGCCCAGTTCACGTGAATTACCACGCATTATCACGTGCAATAGTTCCAATTCTTCGTTCAATAATAAGAATTCCTATACATATTTATTAAATACCCATACATTCATGTAATAAGATTCTATACATTAATGTTAATGATTTTTGTTTTAAACGTAAACGTTTTCGGTATTTTTTTAAGAATAACTCGGGTCCCATTATTCTACAGATGACCGAACATTGTGGCATTCTGACAGAAAACAAAAGCTTTGGACCTTTTCAGGTTCGTTCACAAAAAACGGTCGCTATGAGGCCACCGCAGCGTGCTTAGAAATGCGTTCCGCCAACGGCTCAAAGATTAATAGCGATTACTTTAATGTACCGAACGGATAATCCTAATCCTATTCTTGAATTCGGTGTTTGATTCCTTATTCGTCCACTGTAATGACAGGCTATAATTACTAAGAAAAAATCTACTTTTTATCATCACAAAGTGTGTTGTGAAAGAAACGAACATAATATTGCATTTTTCTTTAATTTACACTTGCAATTGCAAGTTATTATTTGCCTAATGACAGTTACAGGGCACAACTACACAATATTTATTTATCTACAGTTTTGTGCCTTGTTGTAACTTTATATCCTGTGTTCGTCGTACTACCAAATTGTCTAATAGTTACTGTCTCTCAGAGGCATGTGGCCGTTTGGTATGATCTATTTATCACATCTTTGACGTAGTGTTGTGAAACAAGATGAGCGTCAGTGCTCGGTCGGCCAGCACGCGCGTCGACGCGAGTTCCACGCGCTTTTACAAAATGGCGCGGACTTTTATTTATATACACTTTCTAACATTTATGGCGATAACATCGGCGCAGGATTACTACCACACACCCAGGATAGGCTCGCAGAAACTCGCTTCGTGCTACAATAATGACGGACAGCCGCAAGTGAGTGAAAACATTTTATTAAAGTGGAGCTTTTAAAACTTTAACTTTTGTTCTTTTGGCACATCTCTTTAGTCGTACTTTAATTATTTATCTATGAAGTCTTTGTGACTCATTACGAGCACGGTTAATGAACCGTTCATTTGAGCTGCTAAATTTCTCAGCCAGGTAGTATGCCTATAGTGTTTCACGTTAATTGCAAAATTAACAAATCATCTGACACCAATATGAGCTGTGCCTTGTTTTTAAAGCATGCAGGTACTTTGCGCTTATCTGCGAAAACTTTAAGCGATAATAAACCATCTGAACATTTAATATTTTAAATCGGGAACATTATACTAAAACTATATGTGATAAAAACTATGTTTAATTTTTTCAAGATAAATTCGTGATCGCTCTGATAGATTACATCTAGGGGTTATCGTAGACTGTACAACCAGTTAAATGTTGTAAGTCCATTGATATTTGTAATGAGTTCGTTTACTCTGGTGGCCTAATGTCTTGTTATCGGCGGCCAACGGAACCGGCTTATCACCGCATCCGTTGTTCACACATCACCGTTTATATCTTCAACTGAAATATGCCATTCGTTAATTTAAATCAAAGTTACCAACTACCCTTACCTTTTTTCGTAGGAGTGTGTCGTGCGCGTCTCAAGTATGTCTGCGCTGTGCTTTCTCGTCGGTACTCAAACCCTTAATGCTCCTTTAATATTGCTAAAACATCAACACAAAATCGTATAGTAATAAGTCTCCTATAACGGTATATTTTAAATTATATATTCTCGTTGTGTAATAATTAGCAGGATATAGCCCATGCTTTCACTATGTTGATGTGAATGTCCTGCACCACGCTATTTATAGATGAACTATTTTGGCGGCAAAACTACTTACCACCTAGACGGGAATCGTAAACCTGTTTCCGTATTGTCAATCCGTGCTTAGTTGATTTTCTCGCACGAAGATTAAAAGGCGTTGAGATCTTACCCAGTTCTAACAAAAGGCTATATAGTTATCTTTTTGCAAATTTCCTCTTCATCTTTATAAGTTAATTTCAAAAGATAGACGTACTGTCGCGGACGTTTTTTACATCATTTAAAGATATCATTTTTTCATACATAGTTTTTGGGTATCTTGAGCCGTTTTCGCAGAGTGTATATAGGAAACCCACAAAGACGAATAATTTGCCACGTTTTTTAATTCAAACCAGTAGTTCCTGAGATTAGCGCGTTCAAACAAACAAATAAACTCTACAGATTTATATATTAGTATTTAGATTCAACCTGATATTGATATCGTGATCATATATTATATTTTACAATTTTTTTATTAAAAGTCTTAGAAGTCTGATATTTAAAAATCAATGGTTAATTTTACATTGCTAAAGTGTTGTTAACTTGAATTTATTACGCAATCTTAATGCCGCATATTTGTGAGTTCAATTGAAGTGCAAAGTATAGGTACGTAATACTACATGAAAGGGCGAATAAAATACAAACATAAAATTAATTTAAGATCTCCCACACCACGAAATGCCTTTTTAAAGCCCAGGATACACATATACCTACAATTAATTGTTTATATCGTAACTATTTAATGCGGAACGAACTTGCCAAAATTATTTTTAAAACATTATATAAATTGAAAAGAATTACAACTCGGGCAGGACTTGAACCGGCATCGTCAGCGTTCCGTGCTGTTGCGCTGACTCGGTACTCAATGAGTCAATCTCTTTTCGATATTTAATTCACTCTATGTTGATTTCTTTAGTAAGTTTATTAATGAAGTGATTATTTAAACAGATTTTTTCTACAAGCATGACGCAATTACATTCAGATGTCACTCATTCTAACGTTTTTACAGAGATGTATCCCGGAATTCGAAAATGCAGCTTTTGTGGTCCAAATGGAAGCGACGAACACATGTGGCGACAATGGTGTCAAGATGTACTGTATACAGACATCGGCTGGGACGTCCTCGAGGTACTGTACAGTCTCGTAATTTCGTTGTAACGGGCTCTTTGGTCTAATGGTAGCAATGTATGGCTAATAATCAACGGGTCGGTGATCCGAGCCCAACATTTCAAAATTTTTCAATTTAAAAATTTTCGAAAACATGTTGACCTTTTAGAAATCTGGATATTACATGGGTGGACGGAATATAGAAATTCTGTCCAGGTCACAGACCATAGATAAAAAAGGCGCGAAGCTCAATCGCGTTTCGACTTCAGTCTGTGGATTTCCGACTATCCAAAGCCAAAATAGGTCGACGCATCTTGTTTAGATGCTATAGGGTAGGGTATGGTCTCCTACCATCGAGTGAACCCCAAGCATGTCTCCCCCGCTACCCCCGCCCATATAACATCTAACCAAGATGCTTCAACGACCTATTTGGCTATGGACATTGGGTAATACACAGACTGACACTAAAGTGCGTAATACTTTACGGCATTCTCATATGTGGACTGTGGTTCGTGACTCTTACGAAGTTTCGACTTCCTCTAGCCATTTAATATACAAATTTTGGACCTGGTTGTAGTACTCGGTAGGTATCAAACACAACTGGTTGATTATAACTAGCTGTGCCCGCGACTTCGTCCGCGTGATGTTGTGAATTGGGGTAGAATTTTTAAATATTGAGGCTGTTTATTAATTTATGTAACGGCGCATTTAAGGCAGCCCATCTATGGTAAGTGCTACTTTGCCGCAAAACTCTCACCTCACACCACTCCCACTCTATCTACCACTATCACCCCCACGTCCACTTCTATTCCCACGCCCACGCCCACTCCTATTCCCAAAAAAGCCAAAGAAGAAAGTTTCATTGTTCTAGCTTCAAAAATTGCATTAAAATCCGTTCAGTAGTTTTGGCGTGAAAGAGTAACAGACAGACAGAGTTACTTTCGAATTTATAATATTAGTAACGATATGCATTAGAATAAAGAGAATATTTGAATCATTCCCTACAACGGAAAGTATTCAAGACTGAAATGCGAGACGTCATATGAGTTTTGAACTGCTTTCAAGTTGTATACGCAATTTTTTTGTTAAGGTCCTGCGATTATTGTCAGCCGGGCCAATTCTCAAGTTACTACCTCACAGACCTGCATTACGAACAGGATAACCAGACTTGGTGGCAGTCGGAAACCATGAAGGAAGGCATCCAGTACCCCAATCAAGTGAACTTAACGTTGCATTTAGGTATTTACAAGTTATAATATTAAATAAAAAAATTTAACGGTTTAAAACGCGATATATATTAGTTAAGCTTATTTGAAAATTATTTTAACTACGGCCCGACGTTTCGGATGCTTTGGAGCAGCCGTCACGGATACAAGATTGTTTATACTTTATAGTTTTAGCTAATTCTTAATCTAGTCTAAGTCTATTTTTTAATGAGGTAACTCTATCAACATTTCTTTACAGGAAAGGCATACGATATTACCTATGTAAGGATAGTATTCTACTCACCTCGGCCACAAAGTTTCGCTATTTATAAAAAGCCAAGTGAAGACTCTGTTTGGGAACCATATCAATACTTCAGGTATGTCCACATTTGTTATTGCCTTTACATATATAAATATTTACTAATAATTAATATTCGTACTGAATAACGACAAAGAAGTTTTCTCACTAATCGAGTACAGATCCGTTACATGTTATTACTTATGATAACTTTAAGCGAGCTACTTTTTTAAACTTGTCAAGAAAATTATGAAAGGATATAATTAAAAGGTCTTTCTTTAAATAACACACTTTAACGGTTTAAAAAGCGCTATATATTAGTTAAACTTGTTTCAAAATTATTTTGAGACTGTCTGCCCGTGACCACGGTTGCTGCAAATCCGAACGTCGTTAAAATAATTTCCGAATAAGTTTAAGTAATATATATCTCGTTTTAAACCGTTAAAGTGTTTTTTTTATGTGTAATACTCGCGTAAACTACATAAAGGTCTTTATTTACTAAGAAATTCTTCCTTTCCAGCGGACTAGGGAGTTATTATTTTTCGTTATTTTTCGACAAAAAATGGCTGTTCATATATATTATGTCTTCTCGCCCGAAAAGCTCCATGTACCACCTAATTTTGCCTTTCACGTTATAAACACTAAATAATTATTCCATTAGCGCATCGTGCCGTGATACTTACGGTGTCTTGGAGCAACGTGCTGCAGAAATGGGAGCGGAGACGAGGGCTCTCTGCACCAGCGAGTATTCTGACATTTCACCGCTGTCTGGTGGAAACGTTCTTTTTTCCACTCTCGAAGGCAGACCGTCAGCTTATACGTTTGATAGCAGTCCCGAACTTCAGGTAGGCTTTACAAAAAAAAAAAACAATGAAATCAACAAAGTTATTATATACTTAATTTTTTAATTGATAAAAAAAAACACTTAAAAATATGTAAAACATTTTTGTCATTCAATTACATTAATACAGTTTTCTGTTTGAATATATGTAATTTAATTTTAGGAAAACACTTACATATAAATGGGTAGAAAACGAAGGAAGTGGGCTAATTATATCTTTATTAATAAATAAATTACGGAGGTTTTTAAAGGTAAAATAAGAGAACTTAAACTATTTATTTTAGTTAAGCCTATCATTTCCAGGAATGGGTGACAGCGACCGACTTGCGGATATCCTTGGACCGTCTTAACACGTTCGGTGACGAGATCTTTGGGGACACACAAGTCTTACAATCTTATTGGTACGCGATAGCTGATGTGGCGGTTGGTGCGCGCTGCAAGTGTAACGGTCATGCCTCTATATGTGACACGCATGAGTTGCCTGATGGAAGCCGAGCGAGATACTGCAGGTATAAACCCTTTGACAGTTTCTAACATAGATATCATTAGCATAGCTTAGTCTTCACTACTTACTTCGCTAGCGCAGCCACCTAAAGTCTTGTCTTTTTGCCTTTGTGTTGTCTTTTAAATAAAACACTTTAACTGTTTAAAACGCGATATATTAGTAGCAGCAGCCGAAACGTCGAGCCGAAGTTAAAAATAATTTTCAAATAAGTTTAACTAATACATCGCGTTTTAAACCGTTAAAGTGTTTTATTTAAATGTGTACTAATCGCGTAAACTATAGACAGTATTTGTGTTGTCTTGTTAATAAAGTCCTAAGGTGTTGGCCTCCAGAATCGAAACCTTATTGGGAATTAAATAAATATAAAAAAGTAGATATTAAACTTGAACCGGGAACTCTAAAAAATTAAGGGAATTAAATGTTTTACTTTTTAGTATATACATTTTCATTTAAATGTAGGAGAAAAAGTACAATACCAATTTCTTATGACGTTATATAGAGATTACGGTATACAGTGAAATCACGTTCCCCCGTGGGCCATGCGTGAACACATTTCTGTGTCCGTTTAAATGATCGCTTTTTTACATGTAAGCAGTTGATCAATTTTCTGTAAACTGCCCGACCGAGACAATGTATTGTTACGCCACGCGTAGTAAATCCTTCGTTAAATACCTATTTATTCGCTTTATCTACATTTTGTATCTATTCCTTTTTTTAGATGTGAGCACAACACGGCTGGACGTGAATGCGAAAAGTGTTTGGACTTTTACAACGACGCACCTTGGGGCCGCGCGTCACCCACCAACGTCCACGAATGCAAAGGTTTGTTTCTCTATTTGCATATAACCTCTATGAGTTAAGTGGAGACACCACTAGGATTTGGATTGTATTGGTATACGCACGCCAAAAATTTGGTCCAGGTCTCCAATTATTTCGAATGTTATACGATAGTTAATAATGTATATCTAAGAAATTTAAATTTAGAATCTTGTACTTAAATTCTATGTTTATTGGTGTCTTTGAGACACAGATACAAGTAATATTTATAGACGGGTTCAGTGGGTCTGACCCTGTTTGTAAAGAAAAATGATAAGTGTCGGTGCCGTGTTATATATCATACTTGTTGTCTTATGTTAAGTTGCTAATGTATTGTATACATATAATGTATATATATCTATAATACCATTAAACAAGAATAACAATTAAATTCTCTGTTTGTTAAATAATTAAATTCAAGTTGTGACAAGAATTCTCTGTTCATTTAAAAATCTTTGAATTGGTATACAATTGTTTATTATTACGTTTTATTATAATTGTGCTTTTAACAATTATTAACGCGCGAATTTGCTGATGCAATTTTGTCTAAATTATCTTTCACTCAAATGGGTTAAAAACTCGTTGGAAAGAGACAAAGGGCGTCTTTTGTTGTATGGAACGACTCTGGAAGTTGTAAATTGCATATTTTTGTGTTCTTATTTAATCTCGGCCTTTTGTTTTTTATTATTATTATGTAATTGTTTAACCTGTGCTATGCGATAATCTGCGAAGGATTTAGATTGCTATACGTAGAACTGAAATAACTCTTGTATTGGGAACATATTTCATGTTTAAATTACATATTATAATTTCCCAATAGCAATGCATACGACAGCGTATATAGCTTAATTCAAATTTTTAACCATAGCACGATATTGTTGTTCGTTGTGTAACTGTGTCATATTTTATTCCAATCTAAAATAATGTCGAAATATTTTATCAGCTATGTATGCCTCGCGATGTTAACTGTCAACAGCAAAAGTACTTAAGCGAATACTTTGGACATTTGAGAATCGAACACCGTATCGTTTTGAAAGTTTAGTGCCATGTTACAATTACAACACATTTAATTTTAAATATTACCTAGACATATTACTTATTGCGAATAATATACGTAGTATATTTTGATAATTTTGCAAATGCGATTTTGAATAATAAAGATATCTTTAAATAAAACTTTTGAGCGGTTTAACTGTAATATATATTAGTTAATTTATTGGTAAACCAAGCCCGGAGTCACACGGTGACCACTCTTTCAAAAAAATTTTCGCTTTGAACCGTTCAAGGTTTTATTTAACGCATATAATTAGCGTAATAAAAGTTTTTATCTTTGTTTCTAAGACTTCAACACCACTAATTTTATTTCACGGGTTTTGCTGTATTTGTTTAATTATCTTTTCAGCCTGCAATTGCAACGGATTCTCAAACAAATGTTACTTCGACAAGGACTTGTACGAGAGGACTGGGCACGGTGGTCACTGCATTGATTGTGCCGAAAACAGAGATGGCGCTAACTGTGAACGTTGCAAGGAAAACTATTTCCAAGGGACAGAAGATATCTGTATGCCGTGTAATTGTAACCCTATAGGTACGTTATATATAAATTATAAATGCAAAAGTACCTAGAATAAATATACATATAGTTCTATATATAGTGGGTACGGTTAATAGAAATAAAATAGATTGATTTTCAATTTAGATTTTACAGTAATTTTTCTAATCAATAAGACGTAAGTTTTGGTGTGCTATTAAGGACGATGTCTTTTAATCTGTAAAATATATAAGGTACTGTTTTCTGTATTTTATGTCCTTTTTTAATTTCTATTTCTTACGATATATTACTGTGATATTTCTGTGTTCTTAAATAAATAAATCTTTATATATGCGTAACCAGGTAAATGATCTACTGAAAGTTAACATTACTCTCTGAGTTCTAGTAATAGTAGTCTCTGAGTGTATTTCGCAAAATTCTTTATAGGTTCCCGAAGCTTGCAGTGTAACGCAGCGGGCAAATGCCAATGTAAGCCGGGTGTGACCGGGGAGAAGTGTGACATTTGCGCACCAAACCACTATGACTTCACGAACCAAGGCTGCAAACCGTGTGGATGTAATGAATCGGGTTCATACGGGAATGCTCCCCAGTGCGACCCAATAACTGGTGTATGTTTGTGCAAACAGAACGTCGAAGGAAGGCAATGTCGAGAGTGAGTAATTTTCTATAGATTTACTTTTGTAAGCCTTTCCAGTTTATTAAGACTCCATTTTTTAAGCCTTTCCACTTTTTTAAGCTGAACCACTTTTTTAAGCCTTTCCTCTTTTTTTTAAGACAAAATGACCTTGATAAATAATCAAAACCCCAAAAACCTAAATCTCGCTTACTCACTACCTATAACCTCCCTGTGACCATAGCTATTCCAAAGTTTTCTAAACGTCATTAAAAATGTTAAAAGTTTCAATATTTTAAAACATTTTTAAGGTTTATAACGCGATATATTTTAGTTAAAACGCATTCGGATGCTTAACAGAAGCCGCGGTAACGGGGTAACATCTGCAATAAATAAATTACGCATTTTAAACCGTTAAAAGTGTTTCATTTTAATGTGTTATACTCGCGTAAACTACAAACAGTTTTAATTTTTTTGTTAAGTGTTTTATTTAAAATATTGTCTGTTTTCAGATGTAAACCTGGATACTTCAATTTGGATCTTGAAAATGAATTCGGTTGCACGCCGTGTTTCTGTTTTGGGCACTCTTCGCAGTGTAGTTCTGCGCCTAAGTATCAAGCGCACGAACTGAGCGCTCACTTTATTAGAGACGCCGAGAAATGGTCCGCAGAAACCAGTGAAAGACAGACAGTCCCACTTCAATTTAACGCAAACACACAGAATATAGGTATGTTTATTATTCACTAGGTGTGTCCGCCACTCCGCATAGAATAGTTATTTTGGACATCCAAATTTGTTTTAGCAAACCTCCTTCTTTATGAATTTATGTATGAGAAGCTGCTCACGACGTCGGTTGCGTCCCGTCGTTCTTACTAGTTAGTCTTAAAAGACAGACATATGGTGCCGCGGCCATATTTTCAGATTCTTTAAAGAGGAATAATTCTTTTATAAGTACTGTTTTGAACCGTTGTTTCTAAGATGAATAATTTTCCCCGTTTTTTCCACATTTCAAGCTACCATCTACCTCTACATCCATCTAGCACCTACCATCAACTCAATATATCATCATCAACGGTTCAGTTGATGAATGTCCTTTGCATATGTTGTATCTTTTACAAAGTGTTTAATTATATTCGTTTTGTCTATAAATAGAGCGAAATATGAAACGAGTTGCTATATATAATCCGGAGAGGTTGTAGATTCGAATACTGGATAATCATAGTAAATAACTTTCGGTTAAAAGACATTTATTTCTACTACTACTAGTTGATCACGACACAGAAATGTATTGTATTTACGATGTGGAGGTATCGAGAGTATTTCTCGTTTTTAATAAGTGGTGTTACAATACTCAATTTGTTTCAGCGGTGACATCAAAGGGCGCCGAAATCATTTACTTCGTCGCATCGAATCAATTTCTGGGCGATCAACGGCCGTCGTACAACCATGACCTCAAATTCACGCTACGGTTGGGTGAAAGTAGGGGTTACCCGTCGTCACAAGATATTATACTAGAGGGCGCTCATAGCTCTATATCGGTCAACATTTACAACCAAAATAACCCCGAACCAGCTGATCAGGTACTTAGTTGGCTCAACAAAGGTAGCTCAATCTAAAGTAAATCACTGTTGTAATTAATGTATTAATGTTAAAATAATAAATCAGGAAAAAGAAAATGTACTGAAGTTGAATATTTCTGTGTCCTTTTATTCATCAGTAGTTGATCAGGATCTGGCCCTGACACCAAACAAAAAAAATTATTGGGTCCCCGGGTTCCGAATCCAGGATCTCTCGCGCAATGCTAGGCAACACGTTTACCATTTGCTCGTACAAAATAATATTTTACAATAGCATAATTATGTATTAATGTTAAATAATAAATCAGCTTAAGAGATTTGATGTTAAATAAATATACCTTAACTTATGTAATTGTCTGAAATAATCTTACTCCATAAATACTGTCTTTATTTTTCTCGTATAGAACACATTTGTTAGTTTTTGAGTTAAACTTAGTTAAAATACTTTGTAAATAACGTTAACGTTTAAATGTTTTTTCACATTTCGCGTTTTAAACCGTTTAAAGTGTTTTATTTTAATCCTAATTTATATAAAAGAACCATTCGTCAAACATCCGTTAAGTAAAGAAGCGACTCTACTTTTTGTAAATTTTGTTTGTCTTCGAAACTGAATTTTTACTTTTTCTTGTGTAATTAGAGAGCTTATATTTGTTTCTTATAATCTAAATAAACAATATTTTTACAGGATCGAGAGTACAAATTCAGACTGCACGAGGACCCGAGATACGGCTGGACTCCAACCCTCACCAACTTCGAGTTCATGTCGATTCTACAAAATCTAACTGCCATCAAAATTAGGGGGACATACAATAAGGGGGGACAAGGTTACCTCATGAATTTCAAACTGACGACTGCTAAGATTGGCCGCGAGAAGGGGTCTGCTCCAGCCAATTGGGTCGAGAAGTGTTCATGTCCGAAGGCGTATGTTGGTGACTATTGTGAGGAGTGTGCGCCTGGATTCAAACATGAACCAGCTAACGGAGGGCCCTATTCGACCTGTATACCATGCGATTGTAATGGCCACGCTCATATTTGTGATACCGCGACAGGTAAGCTTTTTTATATTGAAAAAATAAAAATCGATAAAGAAGCTTTTAAGTTTAACGGTTTTATTTTTGGTGCACTGAAAACTAGGAAAATTTTACATTTTGACTTATCGTCGTGTTTTCCTACTGTACCCTTTTCATCTCGGTATCAACCCATATTGAGGGGTTTAAGGAAAAATATGTAATCCGCGATTTTGTATCGGCGGCCATCTTGGATTTAAAATGTTATTGGTTTTATTATATTGTATTGTCATCTAAATTAAATATGTGTACCAAATTTCAGATCAATCTGACAACGGGAAGGTCTAATTTTGACCCAAATAAATAAATTCCGTAAGGGTCGAGCTAAATAAAACCCTTTAATTACGAACACTAAAGAAATACATTTTATGAACATAATTTTAAATATTTTTACGACATGAAATAAACTATTCGACCTTCTCCTGTGTTACTCAATACTGTCTATAGTTTACGCGAGTAGTACACATTTAAATAAAACACTTTAACGGTTTAAAACGCGATATATTAGTTAAATTTATTTGGAAATATTTTAATTTCATCTCGTGACCAGTCTGAAATGAAACTCGGGCCGAAGTTAAAAATCATTTCCAAATAGTTTAACTAATAATCGGTTTTAAACTAAAGGTTTTATTTAAAGTTTTTCAATATCGCATTCCTTAGTCACAAATGTGTATTTTTTACAGGTTTCTGTATTTGCAAACACAATACAACGGGAAGCAATTGTGAACTATGCGCTAAAGGATTTTATGGTAACGCAATAGCCGGTACACCAGATGACTGCAAGCCTTGTCCGTGTCCAAAGGACAGTGGATGCATTCAGTTGATGGACCAAAGTATCGTCTGTACTGACTGTCCCGTTGGATATGCTGGTAAAATTATATCTTTAATGGCGCTTTTTAGTAGTTTACTCCAGTAATACAATATAACAATTCGCGGAATATATTAGTTAACTTATTTATTTTAACTACGGCCCGACGTTTTGAATGCACTGCAGTAGCTAACGGCCCCCCCCGTGACCACAGCTGTTGCTAAGCATCCGCGACGCCGGGCCGTAGTTGCAATAAATAGTAAATAAAATTTCGCATTTTTTACTATTCAATTGATTATTTAAAATTGATTTTTTAAGAAGAATCATAGTAAATATCTTCTTTATTTCTGAAAACGACCTAAAATAGCAAATAACATATCCAAAGATCCAAAAGTTTTATTCTGAAATCGAACAAGCTAAAATATAAAACCAATATCTATTCTTCTCTCTATTGATCACCAATAGCTTAGCATTCAAGCTGGCACAGCATAGTATCATTTAAAGGATATATAAGTAACGTTTGTGACTTAGACTTTTAAAATGAACTTAAGAAGGAACTAATGATCTAAAAGAACGCCATAGAGTAATCACCTAACTTTTGTCCCAGGCCCACGCTGTGAAGTCTGTGCTGATGGACATTTTGGCGATCCAACTGGCCAGTTTGGGCCTGCCATGGAATGCCAAGAGTGTCAATGTAATGGCAACGTAGATCCCAACGCTGTTGGTAACTGCAACAGGACATCGGGGGAGTGTCTCAAGTGTATATATAATACTGCAGGAGAACATTGTGACAAGTGCTTAAGCGGTGAGTTTATACAATTTAGCTATATTTAGCATTTTAGTATCTAAAATGTAAAAAAAAATTATTTATTTACAAAGTCAAAAATTATTTATTCACGTAGGTAACTCACTTCAGTTAAAAACTAAAGGCTCTTTAATTTACTATCAGTTCTCAAACCAAGGGTATAGAGCGATCGAGAAGAACTGGCAAGAAACTCGCCGCCACTCCTCTTATCGCCAAGTTTCATTTTACAGTCTTCACGTACTTTGAGTACTCTACATATTTTTTCTTGTTAACGCGGGTTCCTTCACACCCCAAGAATTTTTACCGTTTAAGTATTGATTAACGTCATAATAAGCCTTTCCTGCGGTTTTTGTTTTAAATACGATTTGAACTTAGTTTTATTATACAAAGATCTTGAATGCGGTAGACATTAAATACACGATATTGTAAGCTTGTCATCAGTGGATCAAAATACATGGAAATATAATGTAAATTACAGTTCTGTATACTTTTTCGTACCGCCTCTGTAGCCGAATGGTTAAACGTATTGCCTAGCATTGCGTTGTGCGCGAGAGGTCCTGGGTTCGAATACCAGGGTAACAATTAAAAAGTTGTTCCGGTCGGGTAGGGCACTGAAGTCTGATCAACTACTTGTCTGTTAAAAACGGATCAGTGAAACGAACACAGAAATGTGTTCGCCCGCGCCCCATGATCACTTTTATACTTTTTCGTACCTTAGGTTATTATGGAGATGCCCTCGATCAAAAGGAAAAAGGTGATTGCAAGCCGTGTGAGTGTCACGAAGCGGGCACGTTGGAGAGTCCTGAAGGTCCACCTCAATGCGACGGCTTGACTGGCTTCTGTTCTTGTCGGTCTCATGTTATTGGCAGGAATTGTGATAAATGTGAAGTAAGTGTCATTTTTATATGTCAAAGTAATTTAAGATAATAATAATAATAAAACACTTTATTGCACAAACACAAAATACAAATATAGTAAGTAATACTAAGTTAATTATTTACATAAAACTTTGGCGAGACGTGTTATGATTTAAATAAATCATTTTTAACGGTTTAAAACGCGATATATATTAGTTAGTATAATTTCCAAAAAGGTCCCGCTTTATGTTCCAAATCGTTCTCCCATCTGGTCATTTAAATATATATTGTGTTTTAAACCGTTACAGTGTTCTATTTAAATGTGTAGTACTCGCGTAAACTATAGACAGTATTTACTTGTTATGGTGTTATATCGAAACTAGTATTATAATATTTGACAGTCTTTTTGTTTGTTTTTCCACGCCCTAATGAAGAAACATGTAATAGATTTAAGTAAATATTATATTTAAATTACTTATATCGATTTTTTTTGTTTACGTTTGTTATGTATCTGGGCCTTATTTCTCTTAGACAATCACCACGGACGGATACGCCAAAATCAAAATCAAAATTAATTGAAATACAGAAATAAACATGAAATAAAATAAAAACCGAACACAGTGCTATAATAATTATAGATACAATGGCCGTGTAGAGTACATGACACGCTTATAGTTATCGATTTGTGACAGAACCAACCCTTACGAAGTACTTATTCTAAGTACAGAGAGGGTTCCTCTCTGTATTTGCTACGAAAAACGAAAGATGGCGTTATGTTAAAATACTAGCTGTGCCCGTAACTTTCTCGGTGTGGAATACTTATTTTAACCATCGTATTCTTTATTTTTGCAAACTGCCGAGGAGGCTGTATAAACTATAGTCATATTACCCAGGACGTCGTTTTTGCAAGTTAATATTGAAAGATAGACGTATATTTTCCCGGAATTTTTTTAGATCATTTAAATAGGAATCATTATAATCTGATCAACATAAAAAAAATTCAATTCAAACCAATAGTTCCTGAGATTGGCGCGTTCAAACAAACAAACTCTTCAGCTTTATAATATAAGTATAGATGAATTAATGCTATCTAAATTATGTTTGTGAGCAACAAGCATTTGTTTAAATACTGTCTGTAGTTTAGGCGAGTAGTACACATTTAAATAAAACACTTTAACGGTTTAAAACACGATGTATATTAGTTGAACTTATTTTTCTACGGCCCGACAATTCGGATGCTTTGCAGTAGTCTCCCCGTGACTACGGCATCCGAACATGAATTAAACCGTTAAAGTGTTTTATTAAAACCTTTGTTTATGATTTTTTTATAGGACGGCTACTACAACATAAACTCTGGCGAAGGTTGCAAAGCCTGCGATTGTAATCTCGAAGGTTCTTTCAACTCATCGTGCGATGCAGTCACAGGTCAATGTTACTGCAAACCTGGTATTGATGGGTAAATAATTTTATTCAATTATAATGTAGTTACCCCTTTTTACCCAACTGGCGAACCAAACCCTTTTGTAACTGTAGAGCTTAAATTACTTATGCAATGTACGTAATGTATCTAGTGACATAGGATTAGATATTACAAAAAATTATATATATGACGAACTTTAGCTCAAAATCTAACTTAAAAAAACTTAACTGATGAAACCCAGAACCCATGTGTTTTAAAGGAACATATTCATTATTCTAATATCAATATACAATTTTAGTTCCATAACATATTACTTTGCTATTTAAAGTACGTGACGATTTTTGTATAATTACACTTGGGTATGAAAATCTCCGTAAATTTCTTGCCAGGTTTTCTCCCTTTATTACGCCAACAATTTAAAAAGTGGTAGTTAATTTAAAAAACGCTTTTGTTGTAACTTCTCAACGTTCATAAGTATATTCAGTTACACGACAGCGTTTGTTTTCCAGTTAGTACATAGTCCAATTTTTAAATGGTTGGTAGGTATCGAAATTCCGTTCGACATAAACCGCCGTCCACAGATAAAAAATTCGGTTTCAGTCTGTGGATTTCCGAATATACAAAGCCGAAGGTCGATAGCGCGTCTTATTTAGATGTTATAGCTGGGGTAGTCCACTTACCATCAAGTGAACTTGCTCCTTATCTGCCCTCCTCTATCACAAACAATCTGGAATAAAACATAATGTATTTATATTCATAATATTATTTACACCAGGATACACTGCGACCGTTGTCTTGCTTACCACTACGGTTTCTCAATAGAGGGCTGCCGCGACTGTGATTGTGACGAATGGGGTTCGACTGATTATCAGTGCGACAAATTCGGTCAGTGCTCCTGTCAGGAAAACGTGGAAGGTCGCAGATGTGACAGGTTTGACAATTTAAGATAAATACTATGTACATGTATAGTTAGTTATATATTTGAATCTTTTTTATATTAGACTAAATAATGGAAGTAGAAATTGTTTCTAGTATTACTTCTGTTTGACTGGTTGTTTTCGTACTTTCCTTATAGCCGTTGCTCTTATATTAATAGAGAACTAAACCAATATGTTATGAGATTTTAATGATACGGAAAATCATATTAAAAATAGGTGTATGGAAAACAAACGTCGTCGTGCAGATGGTCAAGGTTGCGAAGACTGCCCCCCTTGCTACAACCTCGTGCAAGATGCCGTTAATCATCACAGAAAACAACTGAAAGAACTTGATGACGTAAGTTGAAAATACATTTCTTTTCTCTGGGATTGATATCCTGGTATTTTCGTATAGCAATTTCTGCAAAATTTTTAATGAGTACAGTCATGTGATGGATTTTTTTTCATATAAAACACTAATAGTTGAAAACAAATATCTAACAATTAATTTTAGTAATTATCATTTGCGCTGCTTTTATTCATGAACTCCTAATTCGAAACTTAGACTTAAAACTTTATTAATTTTAATATTTAAGCATGTAATGGTTACCTATAATTGTTCATTAAGTTCAACTTGTTTTTTTTTTGTATATAATTGCTATGTGTGTATTGCAATGTTACTAAATAAATAAACATTTATCCATTAAGCCAAGGACAATGGAAATAAAAGTATTGCACATTTATCTTAACGTTTATTCTGATTTTTAAGTTAAATTACATATTTCATCACAGATCTTAGCCAAAATTTCAAAAGCACCAACCGTGGTTGAAAATGCCGATTTCGATAAGGAATTACAACGTGTACGAGGTGAAATTGATAGACTTGTCGCTGAAGCTCAAGCTGAAATTGGAAATGGATCTGGATCTAGCTTAACAAGCAATTTGGCAGAACTTGCTGATCGTCTTTCAGATGTCCGGTAAATAATTATATTTTCATCAATTTTGAAGATAATAATAATTAATCTCACTTTATTATCAGTTTCAATAGTAGGACACATCATCTTAATTATTTTATTTCATGATCTTAAAATGAAACTCTCATCAAATTTTTTTTTCAATTGATTTCATAATTAAGATTATTATACAAAATAAAAATCTTGGAGTGATCTCTTGGGGGGGGAAGTACTGGTGGAGTTCAGGAACAGAGGAATTACTAAAAAGGGGTCTAGATCAATGAGACTCGAAGTATCATTAATAATAACTACCATTATTATGTAGTAGTTCTGAAAAATTTTATTTAACGTGTCAATTTCTCTAGGAACATGCTTTACAAAATTGAAGACGAAAGTTATGAGGGTAACGATTCAGTAGAAAGAAGTAAAGGTAATGTTTCAAAAGCTGAAGATACGATTGAAGCAGCACAGAAAGAAATCAATGTAAGTGTTATTTTTATTAAATCTCTTTGTAATATTTAGTAGCATGAGGTCGAATATTCTTGGCTTATTTTAAAATTACAAAATCGAAATCCTACCTATACACAGAGCTAATGTTTTGGTATTTTAACTCTTGGAGAATAAACATGTTGAAATAAAGGTCGAATCAATAACCATGAATGTTGACGGAATAACCATGTCGAAGGTTTAATTAGTGTTAAGTAAATTAATGCATTCTCTGGAGCTTATTTGCACTATTAAGTCAATATACGATCTCTATTGAGATGTTTCATTTATAAAGTATTAGGTCCTTTAAGAAATGTATATTAAAAGTGAATCATTTAATAGAGTGCAATGGAATATTTGGACGGTGAAGGAGCAGCAGCGTTAGCGAAAGCCAGGAACAGATCTGAACAATTTGGAAAGCAGTCGGTAGATATGTCAGCTCTAGCTAAGGAATCCCGATTGTTAGCTGAAAAATTGGAGAACGAAGCAAAGAACATCAAAGATATAGCAGAAAAGGCGTTCAATACGTCTATTGCAGCGAATCAAATAGCAAAGGATGGTATCACTAAACAGGCTAATATCAGGTAGAACTCTTATATACCCTCTTTTCTCCTATATTCATTAAAAATCAGTGACTCATTCCTGTAACTAGATAACTAGAACCTACAGCTTAACGTCCTCTCAAGGGGCGATAACATTTCCTACTTCAAAAATTGTTCTAAAGTAGCTTGTATTAATACATTTTTTCAGCAATGAAGTGCAAATGTTAGGAAATGAATTGAACGCCGCTGCCGGTAAGTTGAGCAGTATGTCTGAATTGGCTGATCAGGCTTTAAAACGAGCTAAAACGGTTTACGAAGAAGCTTTAGGTCTCTACGCTGAAGTTAATACTACCTTATTGCCGGATATAAAACTCACAAAATTATATCACGATTCTGTGGAAATGAACAGAACTGTAAGTTTTTACTTTTGTTTTTATTAATATTATAATTAAACAGATAAAAATATAGTGTTTTGACTTAAATCTAGATCGGGGAGAAGTCTGCAGAATTAGATCAATTAATCGCCAACAATGAGGAAACACTTCGAGCGATAGCAGATGCTGTTCAACACGGTCGAAGTCTGTCGGACCAAGGCCAATATCGACAAGATGAATTGAACGATCTTCTTGCGAAGTTAGACGAAATACAGGCACAGGCAAAGAATGATGTTGAACTAACGAAAGCTACACTAAAAGATGCAAACGAAATCTATCAAACTCTGAAAGGTAATATTTTAACTCAGTGTAGAGTCATCATTATAAACGACAAAGTTAAATTTTTGGTATCATCTCTCGTACATTCATTATAGCTCATACTACAAGATGACATTTTTATTACTTTTGACTAAATTATTGCAGAATTTAGTGACCAAGTAACAGAATCGCGTCAGCTCGCTGAATTAGCTGCTCTGGATGTGCCTGAAGTTCAATCAAAAGTGGCCGCTGCTGAAGAAAGCATATCTAGCATTATCGAAGAGTTAAATACGGCTAGTGATAAGGCTAAGGAAGCCAGAGATTTGGCGCAGCAGGCTCAAAAAGAGTATGCTGACAAAGCATCAGAGGTAATCAACCTATATTAAATAAAATGATATCCTGTCATATTGCACTATAAATAAATAACGTAATAATTGTGCTGTAGGCCGCTCACGATATAAGAAAGAAGGCGTCAACTTCTAGAACGGAAGCTGGTAAACTGAGAGATGAGGCCGAAAAGTTATCAAGTAAGTAATAAAATCAATTTAAAGGCATAGCGTTTTTACTGTTAAATTAAATAATTTCTCGAATCCTTAGCTCGTGTGAAGGGAACAGCGCAACAGATAGAGGAATTAGAAAAGCACGCCGAAGAAAACATGCAACTTACAAGGGACGCCAAGATGAAGGTATGTTTATATATAAATCAATAAGATTTACAGAGTTTTAATGTAAGGCAAGTTTTCATAACATAAGGAAGGTTATGCACAATGCCTACACTTGGTGCGAAGGGTCCTGAGCTCGAATCCTATGGAAAAATAATACTTAGTTTTGCTCGGGCACCATATGCCATTAACGTATTTGTCTGTTAATTAGTCAATTGGTAAACAGCAAAATACACTAAAAATACAAACCTATGTCTGTTAAAAATCGTTTTGAGTTCATAATCATATCATCAAGATTTTGGTATCGCCTATTTGTAAAATATCTAACGTGTGTCTAGGTTGGTCAAGCCAACACAGACGCCAGAGAAGCAGACAAACAAGTGACGAAAGGTTTAGAAGACCTAAAAGTGATCATGGATGAATTGCAAAACCTACCCACCTTGGATGATGAGGCTCTTGATAGACTGCGTTAGTATACTCCTCTCTGACGTTACGGACGTTACTTTTTGTTTATAGAGTAATAAAGATTTTAATGTTGATTTATTTAAATTTACTTGTATAGAAAAAAGCCTCGATGAAGCAGAAATGGCGCTCCAGGTCCAAGATTTGGATGGAAAGATTAAAGCTTTAACGGAGGCTAAAAACAATCATCAAAGGTAATTATGGCATTAACATTCAAATTATCGTGTCTGTACAATTGCCTCTTTCACACTCTATTAAAAAATATATTCGACGATGATCGACCGGACATCATAGCAAGAAACGTGTTCGTTGTTGATTGGATTCCCGTCTACGTAATAAAATGTATGAACTTTGTATAAAGTGTGCCAGTGATTTCCTCCGCATAGGATAGTCATTTGGGCATCAATTTTGTTTTTAAATCTCTTTATCACAGCTTTATTAAAATAACGATGTTACCCACGACGCGTATAGTTGATACGGGTTAATCTTAAAAGAAAGAGATATATTGTCGCGAACATATTTTTTTAGATCATTTATTGAAAAAGCATTCTGTCGTACATATTTTTGGAGTATCTTGAACCGTTTTCACGCACGCAACGGTGAATAATTTTCGCCATTTTTACCTCATTTTCCACTGTTACTTCTCTCCTGGTCGCAGCGGGATGTCTTGTAAAGCCTTCCTTAATAATTCATCTAATTAATTAATTAAGTAATTTCGAGATTCAGATTTATAATATACACACTTTTTTGTTATAATATATCATATATCGATAATCTATGTTCTGTGGCAGATGGATAAAGCAATATCAAGACGAGCATAGCCAACTAAGCGGCGAGGTGAACAACATAAAGGATATTTTAGACCAACTTCCCGAAGGTTGCTTTAAAAGAATCGTCCTTGAACCAACTGAAGGCCCGAGCAGACCGATAAACTACAGATAGATGATAAAGCCTTTATTTTTAAAGCATTTGACAGATAACACAAATCTGGATGGGATACTAAATATGGCGGACGTTCGTTCGAAATTTAAACTAATTATAATAGACAAATCAATATTACAGATACAGTCATTAGGCTTAGTTACTTTTGTTTACAATAGTGTTAAACGAATTCGATTAAACGATTTTCAGTTATATATAATCATGACGCTAGACATAGAGTGTGTACTTACTTAAATAAAAAAACATATTTTGTACTTAGTTTAATATTGATCGGAATTTGTAGTAATTCTTAAGGACAAACAACATAATAAATACTGTTGACCTTTTGTGCCATATTACTGGTACATATTGTAAATACTTATAAATACACGTGTTAATAACAAATATCTACTAGATTAAGAATATGGAAACTATTTTGTTTCGGTTCAAAATTATTATCCTACACGGTTTCGCCAAAGAAATTAATCGATGGAAGTAGTGTGCTTGTATACGTGCGTGCTTTGAATTATATTGTGAAGTTTTTAAGGACACAGTTATGTATCGATTAAATATTATTTATTTGTAATACAAAAGTACTATATGCGTTGTTTTTTTTATTTGCAAATACCTTCCATTTCTTATACATTATCTTCTATAGGTATATAGTCTAAAAAGGGTGAAATTTAAACATGCCTACTTGATAGCTTAAATTATTTTTCACTAATTATTATAAATCTTAAGATAGAATGGAATTATCGATATCTATATCGAATTTGGTCGGGTATTTTGAGAGAATACTTAATACGTATAAGTGGAATATTAAGTTTATTCAATGTTGAATCCTTAGGGAGGGGGGGGGACCAATGATAACTTAGTGTTAATTTATATTGTTTAAGTTTTGTTTTAAAATCATTTAAAAATTTTGCTTTAAATAAATTTTGCCAAATGATAATAAGGCCAAAATAAAATTAACATTGTATCCCTACAAAGTACAGCCCTTTATAGCTCAGAAACGGTATCTTCATTGCGAAAAGTAAAATAAATACATATAGACTATGAGGCCACCATTTTGTAGGCGATAAAAAAAATATATGCCAAAATTAGGAATTGTACCTACAGTATAGTAACTTTAAAATATCTACTCTTGGCGGGTATGCAAACGTTTCTATTCCCGCGAGTCGTACAATTTATGGCGAGCATTTTGCAGAATTTTCTTTTGTTTTTTCAAGTTACACCCTCTACATATGTATTTCTTATTCTGCGTATGTAGCGGAATCTTGAGAATACGGAAAAGAACTAGAGATATTACTTGATGTACAGACATAAGTACCATACACAACTTAATATCATTTAATGATAATAAGACGACCTTAAGATGAAAATAACTACGAATTCTAAATCATATAAGATATGTTATTTTGCCTTAGTGAATGAAATAATTAGTCTTGAACGCACTTTTATATTATTGTGTCTATAGTTATTGACCAGAAATGTTTATTTTAGTAGCTAAAATTATATATACACTTTTGCAGTTCCCTTTCATCGAGCAAATATTTCTAAAAAATGTACATCTAATACATCATGTACATCAAATTATTATAATACACTGTCTCTCCAGCCAAATAGTTAAACGTATTGCGTAGCATTGCGTTAAGCGCGAGAGTACCTGGGTTCGAATCCCAGAGAAACGAAATTTGTTTCGGTCGTCTAGGGCACAGAATTCTAATCAACTACTGAAACGGACACAACAATGTGTTTGCCCCATGCCCCATGAGGGGGAAACGGAATTTCACTACACTATATCAAATTATTACTTACTTTAGCTAACAGATACTTAGAACTTTAGTTGTATTAATCTGCAGTATTGCCCCTAATTTAAGTTATTTTTCTTTATCATTAAATTTCTACTTAGTAAGAGTGGCCTTATACTTTGTTTTTCCATTTGAGATATTGTAATGGCGGTCCTTTTTAAGTAGATACTATAGAAAATTCGACACACAAACAAAAACAATTCGAATCTCACGATAAATCTTTACAACAAAGTTATACATCTTGCGAAGCGTTAAGTAGTTGTTAACAAAACAAATTTAGTGGGACGAAATTGGTGAATATCTCACTGTCTGGGGGCCTGGGTTTTCGAAATACGACGATCAAGTAAAACTAAATAAATGGCCGCGATGACCATCGTAGAGAGAGCTACAACAGCGGCGTCGATCGCCCTCGAAGCACCCGTTCCATGAATACAAAAAGGGGAGACTGATCTCATCACGCGTTGGTCGTTCCGAGTGGAAAAACTGGGATAATCCGAAAAGTTTCCTTAATTAGTTTCGCAGCGAACTACCTCCCAGAACGAATTAAGCGTGCGATGGAATAATTCTGCTTTAAGTGCCCCGGTTTTAAGCTTCATCAATCTTGATTGGGTTTTAATTTGCTCAAAGCGACTTTCGTGTCATTTAGGCATAAATTTATTAAGCAATAGGTGAGTAGAAGGACATGTGGTGATTTCTGTGACTGTTTCATTTAAGGAAGTTCACAAGCACATATAATAGTACTTATAGCGTTTCCTACTGGTCCAGGATAATTTATTTTGGTGCTCTAGGAAAACCGGAACTCTCGCGCTTGGAACAAGGAAGTCGTAGGAAATTAAGCTACCGTGTCACTAGGCTTGTTCTTGTAGCTTAACATACTTTTCTCAAAGCAATCCAGGTCGTCTTCGATATCCTATGACTTAACCTATAACTTCAATATAATTAGAACACTGTACTTTTAACATCAAGCAACGAGAGTAATGCAATCCTCCAAAGCTTTATTAAGCTTAAAATTTTGCATGAAATATAGGAAGGTTTGGTTCTCATATCGACTGTGGTTGATGATGATAATTTTGTAATTTGTCGTGCTCGTTGGTCTAATAGGACCACCGGGTCCATGTTATCGTTTTATAATTTTGTAACGTGTTGGACTTCGTCTGGAAATCTGGATTTTAAATTAGTGTTAAATGGGAAATTCCGTCCAAGTCACACATCGTCGTGCCATCGTCAAATAGGTCGAGAACGCATCATTTATCTTATTTTATGGCTAGGGTATTTTCACCTCATGCTTGTTTGTTCTCCTGTATCATATATATCATATTATAATTTATAGCTTCTGTTGAGACCTGCTTCAATTCAGTGTCCTCGCAGTGCTATACTTTACTCGTCCGGCAAAAACTCTCTGAATTTAATTAAATCGTATCAAAAATAATCGTACCTTCTTTAAAATGCGCAGTTAATAAAACAACTCATAATTCTGCCAATATACGCACGGCTGGTCATCATGGGGGCGCATGGTTAATTTGGAGTGAAAAAAATTAATTAACTGAGGAAGCTTTAATGAAACCAACGACGGGGGAAAACTCTCCAAGTCGCCTGGTAAGTGTCGTAAAGGAGATGGTAATTTTTTTTCACTTCTCACGCAATAAAAATCGTTACCGTGTGGGAATACTTCGGAGCTTTGTCGAAGTTTTTACGAGTTGAAATTGAAGGAGAATTGCTAATTAACTTTTCAACGTGAAATTGGTTAGATACGTACATGTAAGTCTATAGTCTTTATTGGAAACAGTACTATTGTTATAGCTGTATATACAGCTATAAAAATTAGGTAAATTTAAAATTACTTAAATCTGTTTTCTACTATTTTTCTGCTTGTGTTTTAGAAAAACATATATACCACTTACGTAGGTCAATGGGTAAACGTATTAACAGACAATACCAATAACAATTTATTTAGTAACAATTAACAGTAACAAACAACAACAGTGGAAAACATCTTGTATTCGAATCGCCGGAAAAACAATTAAGAACTGGCACAGAAGTCTGAGAAATACTTCTCTGTAAATTAAGTGAAACAGACAGGGAAATATGTCTGCCCCGAATTCCAAATAGTTTGTCTTCCTGCACATTACTATATTCTATACACTTAAGATACCATAGCCAAGAAGACGTGTGGTACAACACTGTTTACTGTGTTTATATCACTGATAATTTCTTTCATTTACAAAGTACTTGTTTATTTGGCTCATGACAAAGATATCTTAATTGCTAAGTCTGCATTATGTCGTCTAAATAAAGAAAACATAGAACTTTAATTTATACTAATAATATAAAGCTGAAGAGTTTGTTTGTTTGATAGCGCTGATCTTAGGTTTGAATGTAAAAATTCTTTGAATTGAGTTGAATAGATCATTTATAGAGGAAGGCTTTACGCTGCACAAGAGCGGAATAAGTGGGGAAAACAAGGAAAATATATGCGAAATCGGTTTAAGAAATAAAAAATTATGTATGAAACTTTAAATGATCTAAAAAAGTCTGCGACCGTTTATGTCCATCTTTAAAGATTAACTCCCTAGAACAACGGCATGTAGACGACGTTGTGGTTTAAAGTAGTAAGTACGTAACGTAACGAAGTAAAAACATTATGTGTTAATCTATGTTGTTTACTCGGGTTTGTAACGCGTTACAAACGTCAAAAGCAACGCATTTACGTACGTATTATATATGCATCATGTTACCAATTACACCCTCCAGGGATCGATAACATTTTGATATAATTATTTCCGCTTGAATGTTGCGGTTTTCTGAAAACTGTAGGAGAAAATTTAATTGAATTAAAGTTCGAAAACAAGGTCCAAATTTATATATTATTATATTGTAATAGGGAAATGAATTTTATCTTTACTCTGTTATAAATGATACTAACTATTTACTAACTATTTAGTAAGGTTAGAAAAGGTCAAAATATTTAAGTGCTTTCAATATATATCTATAGTTTTGTTATTATTTAATAATAATAATAATAAACTCTTTATTGCACAAACATAGACATGAGAACATGGATACATAGAATTATATATACAAAATAAAACATGTTTGTGCAAAGGCGGCCTTTATTATATACTTAATATATACCTACCTATAAAAAGATACATTGAGTAAATATAATAGTGCAACAAAATCTATCTGTTGGTCATACTCCTCCTTAAGTAG